CATCCGCATGAACTGGTACTTCTGGCAAATCTCTCAGAACAGAAAAGCTGTGTGAGACAGGACACCAGGCAGTATTTCCATGGCGACAACATTGTGCTTGGAAGTGGAGGTCAGGATTCAAACCCCAGGCCATTCCATCTCCTTCCTGGGCTCCCAAGCCGCCTTAACTACTGCCAGCCAAAAAATGCTAAGAGATCACTGACATCAGAAAATTGGAGCAGGCTGTTAAATTAGCCCGCTGGTGCGGCTCAGTTGGTTGAGCAACATCCCAGGCACCAGCAGGTTGCCGGTTTGATTCCAGGCCAAAGCACATACCCAAGTCGCAGGCGCAACCCCCAGTAGAGGGCGTGGCGTGCAGGAGGCAGCCGATGGATGTCGATGTTTCCATCTCTCTCTCTCTCCTTCTCCCTTCCTCTCTCTGAAAACAATAAAAACATATTTTTTATAAAAGAATATAAAATTAAACACAGAAGGGGAAAATTAATGCCCTTCTTAGATAGATGGATCTTTCAGAAACAGCACTCGTAAGAACACCGTGTGGTCTATCACTCTGGCCTCCTAGCGCTGAGAGGGCTCTCAGAGTTCGCGAGTCTAGCTGTCCACCTGGAGCCGGGCACCTCCGGGGTCCACAGGCACACAGCCATCAAACATGAGATGGATGTCTGTAGTCTTTGCCTTCCCAGGACCCACTGCCCCCACCCATGGTAACAATACCCTAATTTCCTTTTAGGGAACCACCCATATTTCACTCTCCACATGGTTCAGGCAGGGCCAACTCACCCCGTTACAATGACAGGCATGTGCCGATCCAGCCTGCATCCCCTCCCCACAGGGATGGGTCAGGCCTGGCTGGACTCTCAACAGAACCAGGCGAGAGCTGTGCTCTTTATGTCGGGTTGAGCTGGTAGGATGCCAGCCCACATGGCTGATGAACATGGTTGCAGTCCCATGGGAATACCCTTCCTGGGAAAGCCAACAACTCAGAGAGTACTGCCAAGATTAGAGACAGCTCCTGACGGCGCCCCTCGGGCTCCTGGGTCCAGCCATGCCTAACGCTACAGCTTCTTCAAACCTGCTGCGGACCAGGCACCGTGGCACTGCCTTTTGGTGTGTGCCCATTTGAGCTGAGGCCCTGTCACATGTGACCACAAAAGAATCCTGACCAAGACAAGCGACTTCATGGATTCCTTGAGACAGTGTGAGAATTGTGGGTAAATACGCATAGGTATTTTTCCCACAGGGAGGACCAGCTCTCTTACTGGGCTCCTGAACTAAAATGATGAAGACTGGCCATTCTAATCCAGTGCCCCCATTTCACAGATGAGAAAACCAAGACCCAGGTCAGGAGAGTAACTCGCCTCAGGCACACAGCAATTGGTGCTGGAGGAGGAGATGAGGAGGACGTGAGGCTGGTTGACCCACAATCAGGACTGGGCCATCGGAGGCTTCTCCCTCCCTCCCCCGTCCTTGGGATGTGCACCCACTTACCTTCCTTGCACTAAAAGCTACCCAAGGACCAGCCCTGAGACCGCGAGGCGCTGCTGAGACCATCGGGATGGGATATGTGACTCAACCCCATGAAGGGTCTACATAACTTTAAGCATCCTGCTGGGCGGGTGCAGAGATCTACTCACCTTATGGCCCAAGACAGGCCTTGTGAGTTCCCTCGCTTCTCCAACCTGCCACCCACCAATCTGGAGTGGCCTGGCTTTCTTTTTTTCTTTTCTTATGAATATGTTTTAATTGATTTCAGAGAGGAAGGGACAGGGAGACAGAGATAGAAACATCAATTATGAGAGAAAATCATTGATCAGGGGCCTCCTGCACACCCCCTAATGGGGATTTAGCATGCTACCTGGACATGTGACCTGACTGGGAATCGAACCCTAGCCTCCTGGTTCATAGGTCGACACTCAACCATTGAGCCATGCTGGCCTGGTGGAGTGGCCTGACTTTCTACGGTTTCTCCTATGCTGTGTGTATGGGGCCATTTTGCATGCCAACAGTTGGTGACAGAACCCAGCTCTGCTGAGTATTCCAGACCCTGTGCCTCCATCATCACCAGGAACCCTCCTCTGGCCACTCAGCATCACCAGGCGGCTGCTAACATCACCAGGTGCAGGCTCTCCCCTGGACCACGTCAGCTGGCGTGACTAGGGGTGAGAAGTCCAGTACCGATACTTTGAAAAGACCTCTGGAAGATTCCAATGCGCAGTTAAGACAAGTACCCCAGCCTTACAACATGAAAACAATGGTAAAGAAGCACGTACAACCCAATTTATCCAACATTTATTAGTGAACACTAAATAAAGTTACTAACATAAACTTGAGTATTTTACTCTGCCGAGGCACTGTGCTAGGTGTTGAGGTGCAAAACTGAACAAAGACACAGTACCTGCCCTGAAACACACTTCATGTCTTGTATAAAAGTAAGGACCATCCACACACAAAAAGGGCTACTTTCAATCCGCAGAAGAACAGAATTCTTGGCAGCCCTGCCTTCAAATTCTCAGCCACCTGGCTCTCTCTTGCTCTCTTGAATTAAGTAAACAGCTCCTTCACAGTGCTTGCATCTATTTGAAACAGTCCACCTAGGGAATGTATGGCATTTGAGGATATTTATAAAACTTCTCATTGAGGGTGGAGTTTTTGTGCCATAGAAGTTAACATACAACAGACTGTTGTATCAATAAGATGCTTTATGCGAGCCTCATGGTAACCACAAAGCAAAACCCTCCAGTAGACTCACAGAAGGTAACAGTAAGGGGAAGGGAACCAAAGCTACACTACGGAAGATCATCAATGCACGAAGGAAGGCAGCAGGAGAGGGAGAGCAGGGGAGTCCTAAAGAGCTAGAAATCAATTCATCAGATGGCATCAGTAAACCCTTTCCCTAGCAATCATTACTCTAAATGCAAGTAAATTGAATTCTCCAATCAAACGACAGAGTGGCTGGATGGATTAAGAACAAGAACCCAACTCTATGCTACCTACAGGAGACTCACTTCAGCTTTAAGAACACAGAGGCTCAAAACGAAGGAATGGAGAGAGAGAATGCACAGAGTGAAAATCAGAAGAGAGCAGGGGTAGCTATATTTATGGATAGAATCTAACAAGTACACACAGATTATACTCATTTGTTTGTTATAGCAAAACAATGAAAAATAAAGACAAGTAGAGAAGAAACAGAGTAAAGAAGTTGAGCATCCATTTCTAAAGGCCTGCCTAAGTGAATTATGGGACAGCCATATGGCATATTATAAACCTATTAAAATTAAGAAGTTAAATCTGTACATAATTCACTGCCAATAACTCACTCATTTACCAAAACGATTTACTGTGTGTCTGTCACATGCCAAATCCTGTTCTCGGCACTGGGGAGCAGCAGAAAATGAGACATGGAGGGTCTCTCTTCTCAAGGAGGAAGAGGGGTGGGAGACAACGAATACACAAACCAATCTCAGGAAGAGATGAATGCTGGGTGAAGATGTGCTGAAGGGAGCTGGGAGAGGGGCCGCCTCTGATGGGTGTCCACGGACGTCCCCTCCGAGGAAGCCATGTTTGAGCTGAGACCTCAGTGACCAGAAAGAGCCAACCCTTTCAGAAGAACATGAATATGTAGAGGAGGAACACTCTAGGGAAGAGACAGTGAGGGCAAAGGCCTTAGGTGGGACTATGCTTGGCTTGTTCGAGGGAAGTGTGGCTGCAGCCAAGTAAGTGAAGGAAACACGGAACGAGGCGAGGGTGGAGAAATGCTGGAGACCCATGTTTCTTCTGGTCTATCTCTTACACCTGTGTCCTCAGCTTCTCTACTTGCAACATGGAGTTACTGGTCACTGACAGCTTTTATCACCTAGGACAGTGGTCGGCAAACTCATGAGTCAACAGAGCCAAATATCAACAGTACAATGATTAAAATTTCTTTTGAGAGCCAAATTTTTTAAACTTAAACTATATAGGTAGGTACATTGTTATTCATTTAATTAGGGTCCTCCTAAGGCTTAGGAAGAGCCACACTCAAGGGGCCAAAGAGCCGCATGTGGCTCGCGAGCCGCAGTTTGCCGACCACGGCCCTAGGGTCTCTGCATGGAGTCTGTGCAACAGGCTGGACAGGCCTATCATTCCGCCCTGAGGAAGCTGAGACTAGAGATGTTTGTTGACTTAGCCCGAAACCACACAGCTTGTAGTCACCAGAGTCGGGACTCAGATTCACGTCGCCTAGCTGTTACCACGACACCCTTCCCCAGCACCGTACCCTCTTCCCCTCTTGTGATTTCAATAACAGCAGTAGCAGCAACCCTCAATTCTGAAGTGAGTCTGTGAATTGACTTTGTAGAAGGGATTGAACCCCAGTGATATGGATAGATTGTTTCAGTCTGCAGCTTAAGGCCACCATGGTTTTATTTTTAATATAAGTTATTGCTTACATATTGATCTCTCCTAACAAAACAGGGGAGGTCAAGGTGTCGGGACTGTCCATGGTACGAAACTTGGGTAGGCAGAGAATTTAGGGGTGGAGCATATGAGGGACACCGGCAGGGTCCACTCTACATCCACAGTCACACGGCTTGTAGGTGGTGAGACCAGGATTTGAACTGGTAGCTCTCCAAGTCAAAGCGTGTGCTCTTTCCTGGAATCAGGTTAGTGCATGGGAAGGACCAGCAGAGCACCTCACAGTAACAGCTCAATGAACCGTAGCTGCTATTATCATATGTACACTGTGCTATTAAAAAGGTCTCTCCCTGGTCACTGGGTCTAATAGCCAAGATCCAAAGGATTCAGAAGTGCAGGCTGAGAGGGTTCCCCAGCCATGAACCCTGCCCACATCATTCACACACAAGCTGGTGGTCCTGCTCCATTTCTCAGAACAGAATCTGCTGGGGACGGGGAGATTAATCAGGCTTCATTAATTCTGCAAAATAAACCATGGCGTGTTTGCCAGCGCACCCCAAGCATTATCATAAATCACCGAAATGAAACGAAAATCACTGAAAGCGCACCTGTCTGAGCAGAGGCGCGGCCTGCACTCCAGCGCCAGGAGCAGAAGGTCACGGCATCAGTGGCTTCCCAGTGGCTTCATGGCTTCCCGAGCCTTCCAGTGACCAGTGGGCCCAGCTGCACGGCGCTCCTGTTGGATCATTAACAGAGTCTCATTAACAGAGTCATGAACATTAGCCCCTCAGTTCCGAAGGGGCCCTAGGGCTGTGTGTGCATTTTTGCTCAGCTTATGTAAAGACTAAGCCGCCCTCCAAGGAGATGAGAAGTTTGAGAGGCAATGGTTTGTTTTTCAAGCCACCACTTCTTCAAAAAGCCTGACTGGGCCTTAGAGACCCGGGAAGGATTAGTAACATGTCCAAGGTCACCCAAGTCATTGACAGCAGATCTGGGACCAGAATTCGGGACTCCTGATCCTCAGTCTCATACTCTTTCCACTCCAGTGCCTCTGCCTGAGGGCTTCTGGTAGATTAGAATTCATTCAAAAATATTTACTCCCTCCTGGGACGAGTACACTGTTTTCCTTGGTCTTGGTCACATGACTGCCCTGGGCCATGGCATAAAGCAGGCCCACTGCAAGCAGGGGTTGAAATGGGCTTGCACAGTTGGGCATGCTCTGCCCTCAGCATGAGAAGACTATATGCTGACAAGTTCATGGGTCCAAGGACGATGGGACCCGTGCAGCAGACCTTGACCCAGCCAGCAGGTAGAGGCGCCCAGTCCTGCCCAGCCTGAATCAGCTGGTCCCCAGCTGATGCACAGACAAAAGGACTAAAATAGGTGCCTATCTCTGGATCAGCAGCAGTAGTTGGCTGATCCAACGCTCACCCTGCAAACATATATACAGTATCAGTGACGCCAACTAAAAATGCATTAGAAGGATCCTGGGCTTTGAAGGAGTTCATTTGAGTCTTAGTTTAAGCATTTAGTTACTTTGGGGCCCTCATGAAAATGATTAAAATTCTCTGACACATTATTTCCTGAACTCTGAAATAAAAGTGATAATATTTACTTATAGGGGGATACTATGGACTGAACTGATCCCCCCAAAAAACAAGTCATGGAAGCCCTACCCCTCGGTATGCCTGCATTTGGAGATGGAGCCTCGAAGGAGGAAATTGTTCAGTAAGGACATAAGGTTGGGGTCCTGCTCACATAGGATGAGTGTTCTGACAAGAGGCACCAAAGCATCTCTCTCCCCTCTCCCCACCTGCCCCCAAGCCACCCTGTGAGGATAGCATGAGAAGGTGACTGCCTACATCTGCTAATCTTGGACCTCACAGCCTCCAGAACTGAGAAATACATTTCTATTGTTTAAGCCACCCTGTCTATGGTGTCTGGTGATAGCGGCCTGAGCAGACTAGTACAGAGAAATTCAGAATGTTATATTAATTGCCTAGCACACAATGGGGCTGAGATTGCAAACCTCTAGCCAGAGAGTTGGGAAAAAAGTAGGTCATTCCTACACTGAAAATAAGTAATGTTAGAAATGCATTTTCCTCTAATATGGTCCTAAAACCTTGGTTTTTAGCTGGGCACAAGACACTCAGAAGAAAAACTACACCTCCCAGATTTCTTTGCAGCTAATTTGGTTTGGCTATGTGACAAAGGTATGCCCAAGAAGATGGAAGGGCCATATACAACTCCTGGGACATGTCCTTAAAGAGAGAGGACATCCTTCCCCCACTTCCTCATTCTTACTGGCTGGAATGTGGACATGAGGGCTGGAGCTCAAGCAACCAGTTTGGAATAGGAATCCACACGCCATGCACAGCAGAAAGGAGGCAGAAGGAGCCTAGGGTCTGACATCATGGTACCAGGCCTGGACCACCTGCTATGGACTCCATAATGTAAGAGACAAATAAACTACTAACAGGAGTGAGCCACTGATTGCGGGCAGCCCTGCTCAGCACCACTTGGGAGCTTATTAGCAATTCTAATTCATTCCCAGGACAGACCTCCTGAACCAGAATCTCTGGGACCAAGGAATCTGTGTTCCCACAAGCCGCCCCCGGGATTCTTCGCTTGCTAACCCTGGAGAGGTACTGATGCAAAGATTTCCACCACACCCGCCTCGCCCGGTGACTGACAGAACGCTCCGAAAGAGCAGGTTCTGTCCAGGACTTGGCAGATGATATAAAGGCAGGAAGGATGGCAAAGCCAATAACTGACAATGTCAAGATTTAAAATGGTTTTGACAGAGTGGAACACTGGACCAAAGCCAAGCAGATGGATGTAATGGGGATGTATAAAAAGCAAATCAAAATGTTCTTTTTTTATTGAAGGAAATATAAAATGTTCTACTCTTTGCCTTTCTTAAATTAAAAAGAAGAAATGTAAAATTACATATTTCAAAATACAGCAAATAAAGCTATAAATCAATGCCAATGGTGGCTAGTAAGAGGGACGAAGGAAAGAGAGAGGATCAGGAAAGAGGATGAAAGCAAAACCCAAAGTAACAAAGAGCTAGAGAGTCCAGGATGGAAAAGGAGAATGGAGGCCCCAGCCCAGGATCCATCTGAAGGGACTAAGATGACCTCTGCCACTGGAGGTCCTCAGGATAAGGAGTCAGGTTACACTGAGGCCTACTCTGAGCCAGGCACTGTGTTATGTGTTATGCAAATGTATCTTTGTTTCTCAGATGCAAAGACTGAAGCGCAGAGAGGCTGAGTAAGTTACCCAAGGCCACACAGGCAACACAGGTGGAAGCAGGATATGAACCTGGGTGGCTAGAGTTCAGGGCTGTGACCCTCAGCCACCCTGTGCACTCTACCCTGAGGTGCTGTCCACTCTTGTGACAGATCAGCTTCTCCTGATGGAAAGCCTGGCATAAAAATAGGGAAATCCATACCTCCTATTACTGTAAGTGCAGAGGTAGGGTGGGTCCTGGTGTAGCAGGATTATCAGCTCAAAGGCGTGGTCACAGATACAAGTTCTGTCCATTCCCGGCTGCCAGGTCCCCAGCATCCAGCTTCATCCGAAGGCCGGCTGTGCTCCTAGTTCCACTGTGCTTCTTCCCCACCGCCAGGAAGGGAGAGCAGCCTTTACCCCAAACACAGAATGTCCTGGAATACAGAGTCCGTAACTCAGTGTTACTGTGCCGATCTGGGCACATGACCATTCCCAGACAACAGGGGTCCTTCCTCGGGAATGCCGCGAGCTAACTGTGAGAGACGAGTCAGGGCCGAACCCTGGAAGCGGGGATGGCATCACCAGACCAGGGCTTTGTGGTACCCCAGGACTAACAGGCTCCACTATCAGTTGTGACTCTCCCTTTTTTCTTCTGAAGCAAATCAAGTTCCCTCATTTGTTTGAGTCCTAGCAAAATAATAAATACTGAGAAAACTCATAAAAGATTCCTTAGAAGTACCTTGGGGATAAAACCATAAACGCCTCTTTCCTACTCTTCAGCGGCCTTCCTGACCTGCAGAGGCATCCCAGGGGAAGATTCCCTGGGGCAGCAACCCACAGGCTTCCCTTGACAGGTTCGATGATCTTCTGTCAGGGGAGGCCAGCGTGTGCTGATGCGAGCAGGTGCCGGAGGAGGAGGCAAGTCCAGCATTTGTGGCACGTCTAGGTGCCTAGAATGACGTGTCCTACTTTATTACTTACCTATTTTAATCATTATGAGGAGACTAGAGGCCCAGTGCACAAATTCGTGCATGGGTGGGGGCGATTGGGGCCAATCGGGTCGGCCAGCTGGTGGGAGGGACTGCAGGAGGTTGGCTAGACACGGGAGGTTGGCTGTGGGAGTGCACTGACTACCAGGGGGCAGCTCCTGAGTTGAGCATCTGCCTCCTAGTGGTCAGTGCACATCATAGCGACTGGTTGACTGGTTGGTTCGTCGTTCAGTCATTCTATATAGAGAGATAATAATATTAACCCCATTTTACAGATAACAGAGCCAAGGCTCAGCATTGCTGTGCAATTGGCTCAGGGTCATTCAGCTTGTCAAGGGACAGAGGTGGGTTTCAAACTCAAGTCTATCTAATGCTTCCCCAGTTCTTTCCCCCGCACCACACTGACCCGATCCAGGATCATTATTATCATCAAACCTTTTGACTGCAATTTCCTGGCTACTTCTTACCTGCTCTCTGGCCCATGTTGATTGAGAGAACTACTTACTCTCAGCTTGTAATGGACTTTATCAAATTGTCTAAGTATTGAACAGGTACTATGTGCCAAGAACGGTATGCATACAATCTGTTTATCCTGCCAATAACCCTGTGATACTGTTTATTATGCAGAATGCTTTGGTTGCTACTGACAGACTCCCACATAAACTATGAGCCAATGGCCACCTCCATGATTCCTTTCTGGTTATGACCCTGTCTAGACTTAACTGCAAGTATCTTGAATTTATCTGGCTTCAATGGGAAAGCCACATTTGGAATCTTTTTTCCCTGGAGCCATTTTGTCCAATTTAAAAGATATAACCGGTGCCCCCTTAATCAATCCAGGAGTTTTAAAAGAGGAATCACACCTTCTATTGGTCCTTGTCACAAGGCTGAATGTTAACCAGCCTTTGTCACTGAAAGATGTTTTTTCTTTTATTGTTTGCAAATCAGAATCGGTTACAGCCTCTAGCCCTGTGAATTGTCAATTTTCTGGACATTTCTACTTTCTACCATCTCTCCAAAATGGACAGTGTTTTGCTAAACTCGATTTTCTCTAGTAGTGCTTCATTAAGTATAGACCGTTGCATCTTGGGAATGTAACATACTGTTCATAGCCTCTTTGCCTAAAATCACAAGCTCATTCAGTACATATCTGTTTTCCCAGTGGCCACAGGTGACAGTTTTACCAAATGCATCACAACTCGATAACATGGGTTGCCTTTATCTACCCTTTAATAACGTATTTTTTGCTTCCTACTCCCAACCCGAGTTAATGTCCCATAATTTAGGTTTTCTGTTATGGCAACACCTCAATTACAGATCCCAACTGTTGTATCATCAGCCTCGCCTAATTAATGCTGGGGTAACAACAAAGGAACCCCACATCTTTACAAAAGGCAAGATTGATTCCCTGCTGTGGCCATGGCCTTTGACAGGCTGTGATTTGCTTCACGTTCTCTTTATTCAAGGACTCGGATTGAAGTCCTATCCAGTATCTGAGACATGCCAGCTGGTGGCAAAAGAAAAACGGAGCCATGTGCCTCTGCTTAGAAATGGCACATACTCCTGGTCACGTGCCATCGACCAAGCAAGTCACATGGTCAAAGCCGACTTCCATACCCTTCTCTCTCAGGGAAGGGCAGCACAGAGACCCACATGAAGGCAGCAGATATTTGTGAGCAAACGAAACAATCCACGCAGCCGTATGCTGGTAAATGAATAAAAGCCCTGATTTGTAGCACTTGCCAATTTCCATGGTGTAAACACTTCCACAATCGCCAATTTCAAGCTACCAATGAGATGTCACGGAATGCAGAGTCAGGAAGAGGTGTGTGTGGTCAGCTCTTGTCAGCCGGTGTGAGCAGGCTACAGCATAGCACTGAGCCCACCGCATTTTAACTCAATCAGTTACTAAACATAAATTGAGCAATACCTGTTCAACAGTATGAATATGAAATTTTGCTGTGACTAGAGCAAGAGAGGTTTGACTCAGCATCAACCTGCCTTAAGCCTAAACTAGGATTTGAGGTCGGAGTGAGGAGGACTTAGACAACCCAAAATTAAGTCTTCACATTATTTGCTATTCCTGTATTCATTGGCAAATTCAAGTGGAGAGTAAGAATGTGAGATTAAAATAAAAATCATCTTTGCCTCTATAAATAAGATTCAGCCCCAGGTTCCTCCTTTGCAGAAATTCTTATTAAGGACTTGGCTCCCCTCCCAGAAAAATAAGGTAGAGATCATTTAAAACCCTTTAATTCCAAATTATTCCTGATGGGAGTTATTTGTGAGTATACCTACTTTTTAATGTTTACCATATTAACTTTTTTTTTTCCAGTAAAAATGAGCTTAAAATATCCATGATCTTGGAACTAGCTCTTACATACACAAGTTGCCTTTTTTTCAAAGAGCGCTCTTTGCGCACATTGACATCACCACTGTAGTGACATTGAGCAGGTCGCTTACATGCCCTGAATTTGCTTTCTCATCTTCGAGATAATTCCTTATTCCTTGCTGCTCTTTCTAACCGTGCAAGGCCGTTATGAGGCTTGAATACCTGGCATATACAGGGCACCTAGCAGAGTACCTTGCACACGGTGGTGACTCAGTAAATACTCCTTCCTGTGCATTAACTTGGAAACTAATAAGGGACTCCCATGATTATCACCGAGGCTTGGAGCTGGCGGGTTTGTCCCTATCTAACATAGTGCGGGCTTCATTCATAGCCTCAGCCTCGGAGCATTTGGCAGGAGCAATTTGGCGGTTGAGTGTAAGGACTCTGACAGGAGTGACTTTTGCAGCTCCCCTACACGCATGGATTTTATCACAATTTAACCAACCTCACCTCTCTGGCTGTGACTGCATTGTGTCTCTTGGCCTCTAGCTTGGTTCAAATTGTCAGCCCAACAGAAAGACCCGATGGTTGGCCCCAGGGCACGCTCCTGGCCTGCAGGGGTGGACCCAGGCCCCACCCTGGGGAGAACGGAAAGCTCACCTAGCCATGCTGCAGTCCTTCATGCTGATTCTCACATAAAATATCAATAGGAAATTCCATTTCTACAGTCATTCTGGAGGAGCTGAGGGCCATTCGGACACAGACGCCTGGCCTAGCGCTGCAGCCACATTAAGGTCACAGAGAGATCGTGACGACTCAGAAAAAACAGCCTACTACCTTCCTGGGGACCACTCGCTCCTCCCTCAGGCCCTGAAATGGTCAAGGTTACTATTTCTGACATCTTAGAGCGCTTTGACGTAAAGCATAATGGTGAGGAAGATGTTGATATTGATCATGACAAGAGCAAAAATGAAGAAAGTCGCCTGAGGCTCTGCCCCCAGCTGTCCGGTAATGGGCATGTAGGTTTGTATGTGTGTGTGGCTCAGTGATCTGTATGTGTATGTATTAGTTCCTCCTGGTGGCTTTTTTAAAACTATCAGCTTCTGGAACTGTGTGACAGTGACTTACTATGTGTATATAAAGGCCATCGAAGACTTGGAATAAAACTACTTGATTGGGGGGCTCCGAAATTAGGAATTTAACCCTACTGGTATGTATGAGCAGGTCCACAAATATGGGGGTGTTAATATGGACATATCATTTACTTTTCTAGTTAACCCATTGAAGAAAGCTTGCTCCTATAACAAATTACCTCCCAGATTTTCATTTATTTCTTGCTTAGATAACAGTCCAAGTCAACTGTGTCTACATGGAGGTCAGCTTTCTTTCCAGAGTGACCCAGGGCTACAGGCTGATGACACTCCTTCCTGGACAAGGGAGCCATGGACTCACCTACTGAAGATGCTTCCCCAGCACTCTGGAAACCCTTGAGCAGCCAACCTAACTTCCTGGCACCTCTTCTGAAAGAGCAAGGAGGGAAAAGAAACGGGGGTGGGGGGGCGGTCGATAAAAGCTTCATTCACTGGGACATCCTGGTATATTGCATTGTCTGCAATGGATGAGCCAGCTGTCATCTCCAGGTTTTAGTGGATAAGTGTCTATCAAAGAGGATCTGGAGAACACCTTCCTACATAAAATGGCATGAATAAGCTGAAAAAAGCATAAGTTTTATTGTTTAAAAAATCAGGTAATAGTTTTTCTAAAATTTGTAATTAGTGGGGTTTTTTGTTTTTTAATAAATTTTTATTGATTTCAGAGAGGAAGGGAGAGGGAGAGATAGAAACATCAATGATGAGCCCTAGTGGGTTTGGCTCAGTGAATAGATCATCAGCCTACAGACTGAAGGGTCCCAGGTTCAATTCCTGTCAAGGGCACATGCTCAAATTGCGAGGGGGTTGGGGGGGAGCGTGCAGGAGGTGACCAATAGATGATTCTCTCCTCATTGATGTTTCTATCTCTCTCTCCCTTCCTCTCTGAAATTAAAAAAAATTTTTTCTTTAAGAAACATCAATGAGGAGAGAGAATCATTGATCAGCTGCCTCCTGCACACTCT